CATTTCTTGTAAGGCTGATCTGGTTTTGGTGAACTTCCACAATGTTTGCTTGTCAGAGAAAGTTTTATTTATCCTTTATTTCTGATAAATCAGAAATGAATACAGTGGAGCAAGTGGAGAGTCTCCAAAATAGAATGAAGGAGGCAGAAGAAAGAATCTCAGAATTGGAAGATATTTCCTGTCACTAGGGGAAAACAAAAAGCTGGAAGCAGAGCTGGGTCAAGCTAAAAAAAGTATTCAAGAATTGAAAGACACTATTGAAAGGCCAAATGTAAGAGTTACGGCACTCCCAGAAGGTGCAGAAAGAGAAACTGGGATTGAGGCTCTTGTGACTTGTAAGAGCTTCTCACATAGTCAATCGAAACTCAGCGTTGGGGCAGATCTTGGAGTGGTTCATGGTGTTAGTTTTGCAGTCATTGCTTACACAGAGTGTGTTCTGTGCAGTGAGAGGACTGATGTGTGGTGGCCTATACCTATGTTAGAACATCTCTGATATTAACAATAAAATAACCATAAACCCTTCTCTTCCCAAATGGAGCATTATTAGCAATGATAATTTCTCTGTCTTATCGCTCTGCCTTTCTGTCACAGTATTTGTTGCCTGAAACTTGAGATTTCCAGAATCTGTCTCAAAAGCTTTATCATATGCACACATATTGATGCGTAAGAAATACAATGTTCAAAAAAAGAGAAATATAACGTTCCATTTTTAAAGTTAGAATATGTATCACTGTAGCTTTTTCATAGATTCAAAGAAATGTATGGGGTCAAGATCGTGTAGGTTTTGTGCAGTGCTTGGGTCCATGTTCCTGTCTCCAACGCAAGAAAAGGATTCCGTATGAGATAGAGGCAAAGGACAGCAAACAAAGCACGATTTATTGACATGCAAAGTGTGGACTTGCTCAGGGGAGCTGCACTCACGGAGATTTGGATTGTCGCGTTATATAACCCGAAAGCAAAAGGGAGATGGTATCTGAGACAACTCTTAAGGAAAGAATCAAAAGAAACAGAGTGGGGAAGGGCTTGGGTATTGGCCATTTCCTTGTCCTTTTGTAGAAATGTTGGAAGTGTCATGGCATCCGGTGCACAATGGAAGTGGGAATGTTAGCCATGTAATGACATTATGAGCTGTAGATGGGCATGGGCACGTAGCTGGGAGCCATGTTGGTTATTTTAGCTGACATCTATTCTAAGTGGCACTTCAGGGCAGGGCAGGGATTTTGGTGGTGGTGGCAATGCGGCGGTGTGGGCGAGGCTGCAAGGAGCTGGCCGGACCTCATCTTCTCCTGGCCTACATTGTGTCTACATTGTGTCTGCAGTTCAGCATGCTGTGACGTATGCTCTCTGTGACACAGACACGTTCATTGCTGAATGAAATGACAGCCGTTTATGACTTTGCAGTTAGAAACATTGTTGTCTAGGTTGCCAGGGACACAATTATATGAATTTCTTTTGGAATTTTTGTATTGAAGTTGAGTGTTTAATTTTAGGATGCAAATTTATTTTCTTTTTTAATGTTTTAATTTAATTTTTAAATTTTATGATGCAATTTTATAGGCCCTGGAATTTCCCTTCCCCTCCCTGGATTGCCCCCTCCCCACTGATTTCCCCCATATTTTTATGATAGTATGCTTCTTCATAAACTGTCATAAATCCATCATTCTGCTATCTAAGTGTATCCTGACATCGCAGATACAGACAATGGCAGACAGTCCAGCATCCTATTGTCAAGATATATTTAATAGTTTCATTGGGAGTCCATCTTTAGTTTGGACACAGAGATGCATACTGCATTGTATCTTCACATCTGGATATGATAGTCTCTGTTATATCATTGCTATATATTCCCTTAAATGAATAGCCATAAAACAAAATCAACAACAAGAATAAAGTTAAACATTTTAAGGCACCATGAAGTTAAATAACATGCTACTGAATGACCAATGTGTCAATTAAGAAATGAAAAAGAAAACAAAAAGCCTTCTTGGAGAAAACGAGGCTACTGTATGTATGACCTGTGAGTCAGTGAAGCATTTAGTAAGAGAAAAGAAACTATTTTGAAGAAATGAAAATGAAAACATAAGTATCCAAAACTGAGTTGTAGCAAAAACAGTATGGAAAGGGCTATGATGGTTGTCTTATATCCGAGATTCTACTGTTTTTACCTGCCTTCCCTACTAGCATGTTAAAGTTCTGCTGGTCTGTATCTCTTCTAAAAGTTGGTTTCATCAAAAAAATTTTTTTTTTTTTGCAAATTTAAGCAGATTCTTAGTTGTCATAAAAGTGTACATCTATATGGTACAGCATGACATTTTAATATCTGTATATCATGTATAATGATCAAATTATATCAGATAGCAGCTTTTGACTGGAATTCTTGCTTGTTCCAAAATGAATAATGTAAAATTATATTTCATTATCATCTTGGTCTAAGTTTCTATGACTTTTGGTGACCAGTTACTCTTTTTAAGAATTTGTAATTCTGAAGCATGTATGTTTTATTTTATTTTGGGATTGAATCTGTGTATCTGAATCTTATATCCTCTGTACTCATTTCCCACAGCCTGCTCAGGAAATAGCTGCTGTGTTTCAAGACACCCCGTATCTTAAACAAGACCCTCTTTAAGAAGCTGAATTCTAGATTCACCACTTCTGTGCAATTGTCTCTTGTTAGTATCAGTGGGCTTAGGGTGCTTTGGACGGACGCTGATGGTCTCCCCATGCCCTACTAGCCAAAACATAAACTGGTGCAAGGCATTTCTCGATGTGTAGCAAGAACTTAAATCTTTGATCACTTTGGCTGGCAGTGTGTTTTCTAAGAATCTCTCGTAGGCTCATAAGAATCCTAGCTAAATCAAAAGTGATTTAGTGTCTAATAGCCAGGTAAGCTATAGGACCACTGGGCAGTTTGCATGGGGAAAAGGAAACTCATCAAGAAATCTTACATATATGCCTCTGCGCCAAGTGAAGGGAGGCAAAGAGAGCAGAGCGTGGTTTGTGTTCTCCAGTTAGAATTGCGAACAGGATTGAAGAAACCTTCAAAGAGGCATACCAGTGGAATCGGGGCAGGGAGGTGGGAAGGCATGATGTGACACTGACCCAGGTCTCTGGCTCACTTACACATAGAAATTGACAAGAGGACAATGGTTCAACTCAGACATGGTTTATTGGGGGGCCTGCGCCTGAACACAGAGCTGATAGCATGGAAAGAAGAGGTTCCATCGAGTGGCTCTCTGTGGGAGCAGCCCAGGGGTTTTATTAGCTGGAGGAGGTGTGACCATGCCTCTCTGTGCTTTCTCCTCAGTACTTGAGTTTGCACCTGGCCCAGAGCTGTTTGTACATTCAGGTGCGTCTTTTGCACACAACAAGCTCAGCATTGTTGTGTTGCTCGCTGTTGCCTCTGAAATAATATCATATCTTGGTTGATATGTTACAGGTGGGGGCAGTCCCTGATGGGATAGAAGGGGTCTTTTGTGGTTAGTCTGGGTGATCTTTTCTCTTGATTGCTTTGGAGTTGGAGACAGCTACACGTCAGGTTGAAAGAGACTTGATTTTGTGGATCCCATTTCTATCCTGTCTCAGATGCGTCTCCTAGTGTCAAACTGAGTTCCCAGTTAGAGAGATGGCGACACCTTCGCATAATGAGTGCTGTGTCTGACTACGCCCTTTAGCTACCCAGAGGACATTTTAGAGTGGTGAGCGGGAGCGTTAACACATGACATTTGTTCCAGACAGAGAGGAGATAGCTCCTGGGATTCCACAACATGTCTGGGGGAGAATTAGCAGGATGTGTAGGTCTGGGTGGTCAGGAAGAAGTAAAGGAACAGAAGAACTTGAGTGCTGCAGGTAACATGGCCTCATTTGTAGCTGCGATGTTGTCATGGCTACACTTCTTTGGTTTGCATACAGAGACTGCGGTGCTGTCAATCACCAACACCCCCTCTCAGCCTGGGGAGTGGGCTTCTGTGCAGAGAGGGGCAGCTGCATGGCAAACCACACACCTGCAAATGGAGAAACAACTGCTCGGATTAGAGTGAGTCAGTGATGGAAGCAGTGTTCTACAGTATGTACAGGCTTTCCTGAGGACTCAGGGAATATTTTCCAAATGAGGAGACTTCTTATTGGGACTTGAATGTCTGTTAGGAGTGTCAAGGGACTTCAAAGGTGTGGGCATCAGGGAGTTTGCCTTTGAGCTGCCATTCAATGGTGGAATTGGTGGCCAGAGGCAACTGCCCTGGGATGAGAGAAGGGAGTCAGGAAACACCCAGCTTTCAGGCTGGTTTCCTTGGTGAATGCTGTGCCTCTTATCAGTGTAGACACTCTTGGGAGACGGAGAATTCTGTGTCATGAGCTGGCAGATGTCTCTGAAGAGCAGTGAAATGTGCGCAGCCAAGAGTAGGTGATGTCTGGGCGTGCTGCTGTCACCAGGTCCTTGAGCTTTAGAATCCATTTCCCCCTCTGGATGTCGCTGGCGGCCCCAAGTATCTGCCAATCCAGGATAATCAGCTTCAAGAAGGAGTTTCTCTAAAGAAAACCTCATTTACTCATGACAAAAACAGAGGTAGAGAAATGTGGTCCCCAAAGAATCTGACTCTCTGAGAAGCAGTTTGCCAGGGCAAGGCTTGGGGTCATCCAGGACTTGGGGGCAGAGCAGGAGCAGTGGGAGGAATGCTGTATGCAGGGACCATCCAGGATCTACAGGGAGGGGTAGGAGAGCCCTCACTGCCCAAGCAGCAGGTGCCTTGCTACACTGCTGTCTTAGAATCCAGATGCACATTTGTTTCTGGAGCTTTGCCTGTGTTGACCAGTGTCCTGGCCTTTTGTGAGTACAGGTCTGCAATAAGCTTTCCTGGACCATTCTCTGATGATTCAACTCTTTCAGAATCTCTTGCCAGGTCAGTGCCTCGTTTACGCTGTCTGCTTTTAGATGTAGCTCTTTGGAATCACATTTTTTCCTCTCTCCTCTCATCTTTGCTCACCTGCTGTGTGTTCCCACAGAGATTCCCTTGTGCCCAGCTCACAGGAGCTCTCCCGAGTGTGGAGCCATCAGCCCTGAAGACCAGGCGGACAGCCTCAGCCTGGGAGTGCTGGAGTGATCCCTGATGGGCACAGTGTTTGTGCTCCTGAGGACGATTTGCCAGTCTGTCCTGACTGAGTCTCTACAGTTCCAAGCAGAGTGTGTGGAGAAGGAGGAGGAGGAGGACAACATGAAGAGGAAGAAAGACGGGCTAAGAGAACGTCTTGGCGCCTGGGGCTACCATCATGGTGATTACATTCTTGCCATTTTTGTTTTCTATTTTGATTTTATAGAAATGCTTTGTTCACTCATGGTACTCTACAGCTGAAGCATTTACTGATCTGTGCCTCCCTTTATGTGTCTGTAGAATGGGGAAGGTGACAGCGCTGGGCACACACAGTTGTTAGAAAAGCTAAATGGGAATGAAGTCTGGGGCAGGTGGTTGGTCTAGTAGGTGAGATGCCCACGTCCCACACTGGAGTGCCTGGGTGGGAGTCCTGGCTCTGCTCCTGATTTCAGCTTCCTGCCCATGCACATTTTGGGAGGGATCAGGTGATGGAAGGATCAAGCTTTTCCCTAAGGAATTTTGAGTTTTGTCATTCTCCTTTCCTTCTGAAGTGATCACCTGAGGGGTCAGCTGAGCCTAAGCTTGGGTTGGGAAAGCAGAAGTGCATTGCTAGAGTGTCAGAGAAATGTCTTCCTATGTCCTTTTGCTTTCGGTGTGTCTTTAGATGGGGTGGATGCTCCCCAAAGCTGGGGTGGGGACCGATCAGGGCGTCTTCCTTCCCTGGAATCTAATATAAACTCGCTGGGGAGTCGCTCCTGCCTCTGCCCCCATGGCCTTTTGGTTAATCTCCGTAGAGGACAGCTTGAATGGGAGGAAGTTCACAACTCCTTTTTAAATGTTTATTTCTTTAAGCATTTTTAAAATTGATTTGAAAGCTTTAGAGAAGTGAGACAGAGGGGGAGAAAGAATTTTCTGTCCTCTTGTTCGTTTTCCAGTTGATTGCAGTTGGACCAGTTTAAGCCAGTAGCTAGGAATCCAATTCAGGTCTCCCAGTGTGTGGAAGTGAGTCAGCTACTAGAATGATCAGTGATGCCACCAAGGGTGCGCATGCGCAGGAAGCTGCAGTTGGGAGTAGAATTGGGACTTGATAGCGGAACTCCAGTATGGGTGTCCCTAGTGGCGTCTTACCTGCTGTGCCAAATGCCTGCTCTGGTATTTCTGATTCTTTGCCTCCCTAACAACTTCTGACATGGCTCACTCACTTGGCCAGTGAATAATATGCTTTCTTGTGGAGACATTGGTCGCTTGCAATAGATCATGAAAACATTTCCTGATGCTTTGCCAAGGTTCATCCTTGAGACGTGCTCTCCAGTTTATCGGCCAGCCGCCTAGTGAGTTCTTTGCACCTCTGAGATTACTTCACAGAGTGTCATGTCAATTCCAGAAAAAGTATTTTTTGTTAAATTCTTAAGCTGTACCCTGCCTTCAGTATTTTTTTCTCATCCCTTTAAAGGCCTAGTTGGCTTACACAACATTGGACAGACCTGCTGCCTTAACTCCCTGATTCAGGTATTCATAATGAATGTGGAATTCACCAAGATATTGAAGAGGTAAGTCTGTTATTCAGTCTGCTAAACATGTATAGTATTTTAATTATGGAGCATTCGGTTATTCACAATGCATTGGACTTTTAGAAGACTTCTTTAAAAGATACTAGCAAAAAGATCCTTTTCTGCCTCACATAAGAAAGTCTAAAAATATGTAAGTGCCTAGTCCTAACCTCAGATCTATGGTTTCAGTTGACCTGGGGTGGGGCCCAGGTATTTGAACTTTTATATTTCTTAAATTTATTTGTGAAAGAGGTAAGGGCAGGGGACAAGAAGGAAGGGGAAAGGAATCAGAGAGCAGAGAGAGAGAGAGAGAGAGAGAGAGAGAAATCCCATCCACTGGTTCACTCCCTACATGCTCCAGTCCCACAGTTTGGGCCATAACCAGGAGCCAGAAATGTAATTCAGGTCTCTCCTGTGGGTGACAGGAACCCTAATCACTTGGGTCATCATCACATTCCTTCAGGGTCTGCATTAACAGGAAACAAGAGTCCGGAGCCGGAGCTGAGAATTTCGTTGCCAGGCATTGTGTTGTGAGATGTAAGCATTGCAGTGCCCAGGTTAAAGGCCCACAGCTATGATACTTCTAAAAAGGCTCTTTTGGTGATTTTAGAAACGTATCCAGAATTGACAGTTACTGATTTGGTTAAAAGGGAACTAGGTCAGTCTTAGAGAAAATGTCAGTGGGCATCCTCACACATAAACACTCTCTCTCTCTTGCTCTGAGATTTCTTCTTTTTCTCACCATTGACACAGGCCATTGAGAGATGTCTATAGTCCACTGAGTCTATGCTGAAGGACACTGACAGCTGTCGTGTTGCCCGCACTGGGCATGACTCAGTGTTTGGTTTTTATTTGGAGTGTATCAGGTTGGACATGTCACTGCCTGCCTTGGATGTGGACTTAGAACTCTGTCCTTCTCTCTATTGTGCTTTTGAGCTGAGTCATCAGGCATGTTGATGCTGCTCTCTCTCTCTCTCTCTCTCTCTCTGTTCTTTAAAAAAATATATACTTATTTGTATTGGAAAGGCAGATCTACAGAGAGACAGAGAGGAAGATCTTCTGTCTGCTGGTTCACTCCCCAAGAGGCTGCAACAGTCAGAGTTGAGCCAATGTGAAGCCAGGAGCCAGGAGTTTTTCCCAGGTCTCCCAATTGAATGCAAGATCCCAAGGCTTTAGGCCATCCTCCATTGCTTTCCCAGGCCATAGGCAGGGAGCTGGATGGGAAATAGAGCAGCTAGGATGCAAACTGGTGCCCATATGGGATGCTGGCACATGCAAGGTGAGGATTTAGCCACTGGGCCGTTGTGCTGTTGATGCCTCTTTGGAGAGGGACGCTGCACAACCAAGTTCAGCGACATGGTGATTCTCAATATTGGTTTCCCATGCAAAGTTTCTGGGAACTTTAAAAATTGTGTTAAATGGGTCCCACTGCAAGAGTTTAGTTCCTGTTATAGTGATCTGGATATTAAAAACAAAACAAAACAAAATGTTTCCCAAGTGATTCCAATGTACACCCCCATCGAGAACTATGTGGGTAAGAAGGTTCCTGGTTGCTTTTATTTGGCAGGATAAAAGTTCCAAGAGAAGTGGAAGACCAGAAGAGAAATGTCCCTTTTCAATTGCTGTTATTGCTAGAGAAGATGCAGGACAGCCGGCAGAAGGCAGTGAGACCCCTGGAGTTCGTCTCCTGCCTCCAGAAGAACAATGTACCAAGTAAGGCATTCCTTCCTGGCACCTGGCTACTGATCTGAAGGGGACAGAAGCTTGAGATGGGTGGGGAGGAGGGACAGAGAGAGGAAGGGGTGGGGAGAGAGAGACAGAGGTAGAGAGAGAGAGAGAGCGCTCTTCCACAGTTGTCAGGGCTGGGCTGAGCTGAGCCAAGCGCTTCTTCTAGGTCTCCCATGGGGCTGGTGGGGCTCAACACTGAGGCACTTTGATCTTTCACCGCTTCTTCTCCCAGGTCATTAGCAGGGAGCAGGATTGAAGTAGAGCTGCCGGAATGTGAACTGGTATCCACAACGGGATTCTGGTGTCACAGGCAGTGGGCATACTCGCTGTGCCACACCATCAGGCCTCCCCCTGGCCCCCCATAACTCATTGTTTTATTGATTTGTCCACTACTGGACACACAGAGTGCATCTGTGTCTTAGCTGGTGTGAATAGCACTGCCACAAACACGGTGGGGCGTCTCTTGGACGAGGTTCTTCCTTTTCCTTTGACTCTATACCCAGTAGAGGAATTGCAGATCCTACAGTCATTCTGTGTCTAGGTTTCCCGAGGCGATCTGTCCTGTTTTACATCTTTACTAACAGTGTGTGTGAGTGCTCCCTGTCTTTCTCTATGTCCTTTCCAGCATTTAGTATTTTTTGTGTCTTTCAACGATGACACTCTGAATTGAAAAATCAAAACCAATCACTGATTGTGATTTTCATTTATATATTTTCTAGATTTATTTATTTTTTTAAAGATTTATTTTTATTAATTTTTTTATTGGAAAGGCAGATATACAGAGAGGAGACACAGAGAGGAAGATCTTCCGTCCGATGATTCACTCCCCAAGTGAGCGCAATGGCTGATGCCGATCCAAAGCCAGGAGCCTCTTCTGGGTCTCCCGCGCGGGTGCAGGGTCCCAAAGCTTTGGGCCGTCCTGGACTGCTTTCCCGGACCACAGGCAGGGAGCTGGAAGGGAAGAGGGGCTGCCGGGATAGAACCGGCGCCCATATGGGATCCCTGGTGTGCAAGGCGAGGACCTTAACCACTGCGCCACTGCGCTGGGCCCTAGATTTATTTATTTTTTTATTGGAAAGGCAGACATACAGAGAGAAGGAGAGACAGAAAGGTCTTCCATGTGCTAGTTTGCTTGCCAAGTGTCTGCAATAGTTGGAGCTGAGCTGATCCGAAGCCAGGTGCCAGGAACTTCTTTCCGGGTCTCCCATGCTGGTGCAGGGTCCCAAGGCTTTGGGCCGTCCTCGTCTGCTTTCCCAGGCCACAGGCAGGAAACTGGATGGGAAGTGGAGCTGCTGGGATTAGAACCAGTGTCCATGGGATCCCGGCGTGTTCAAGGCGAGGACTTAACCATTACACTGTCACGCCGGGTCCAAGAGTTCAACTTTCCACATGCAGTATATGACGTTAGCTCTCGGCTTGTCATATGTGACCTTTTCTGTGTGTTTGCCAGTGTTCACACTGCTCTTGGGCATCCTGGAGGCCCATTCCACCATTCCAGTTGTATTTCCACTTTCCTTTAGCCCTCCTTAACAGTTGGGAAGATTTGTCTAGATAGAGAAATAGACATCACTGCCCAGAATAGAACATCCGCTGTCGATGCGCAAGGCTGCAGTCTGGAGTTTGGAATATAACCTGTCATGTGGATGGCCAGTACTCAGTTCCCTGAGCCATCACCCTCTCATGTGATGCTCGTGTCCCAAGTGGTACTTGCTTCTATTTATTTATTTTATTTATTTATCTATTTATTTATTAGAAAGGTAGATATACAGAGAGGAGGAGAGATAGAGAGGAACATCTTCCGTCTGTTGATTCACTCCCCAAGCGGTCTCGATGCCCGGAGCTGAGGCAATCTGAATCTCTTCTGGATCTCCCATGCAGGTGTAGGGTCCCAAGGTTTTGGGCCATCCTCCACTGCTTTCACAAGCAGGGAGCTGGATGGGAAGCGAGGCTGCTGGGATTAGAATCAGCACCCATATGGGATCCTGGTGTGTGCAAGGCGAGGACTTTAGCTGCTATGCTACAGTACCAGACTCACCTGTTTCTCTTTAAAAAAAAATTTATTTATTTGAAAGGCAAAGCTATAGGGTGGGTGAGAGGGAGAGAGAGAGAGAGGTCTTTGATCTTATGGTTTACTCCCAAAATGACCACAATAGTGGTACCTGGGCTGCTTGGAAGCCGGGAGCCAGCAGCCAGGAGCTCCTTCCATGTCTTCCACATGGGTGCATGACTCCCATTATTTGGACCATTTTCTGCCCCTTCCCCAAGCACACTTGCAGGGAGCAGGATCAGAAGCAGAGCATCCCTGACTGGAACTGGTGCTCATATAGTCTGAGCTGATCTACCTTCTGCTTCCCAGTGCTGGCTCCTGGCTCTTCAGTTCAAGATGAGTTCTCAAAAATATATATAGTGCTGAGTTTTCATTCATTGACCATCCCATAGGTAGTGCCAACTTGGGCTTTTTGGGAGAGAAGAGGGCCCCCACAGGACAAGGGATCCACGGGCATCGAGGTGCCAGGGCCCAATGGCATGAGAGGCTCTCCAAGGACCTTACTAACTGGGCGATTGTTTTTCTCTCTGGTCAGTGTTTGTTCAGCATGATGCTGTTCAGCTCTACCTCACGATTTGGAACCTCATTAAGGCTCAGATCACGGATGTGGACTTGGTAAGGACCTGGAACTGGGGCACAGCGGGGTTACTGACTGAACTCATCAATTGTGGTTCGTATGTTGCACAGAGAGGAACGAAAATTAATCCACAGAAAATGCCTATTGCCGTTCCCTCACATGGTCACTGTGACTCATTGTCGCTTTTGTGAGTAGGCCCTCTGAATGGCTGTCACTGTGCAGCTCCTAGCTGGTGGCTCCCGTCTCTGTGAGTTGGCCCAGGCTGGCACCTGCTTCTTGCCCGTTGATGTCTCGCCTCGTCTCTCACGCAGGTGCAGCGGCTCCAGGACTTGTATAAGATCCAGATAAAGGAATGCTTGGTCTGCCTCGACTGCACCACGGAGAGTAGCAGAGACAGTAGCTTGCTGACGCTCCCTCTCAGCCTTTTCGACCTGAACTTAAAGCCGCTGGGAACACTGGTGAGAGATTTGTCATGGTGGATCAGTGTTCCCACAGGACTCCGTGTTCTGGTCCCTTTGCTTCTTTCACCTGCCCTGGGCTGTTCAGTGTCACTTTCTATTTCATTTGCCAGGATGTGGCCAAGGGCTACCTTGATTTGGCAAAAAGTATTTTTAACCCTTACTTCTACTTTCCTTTGCTGCTTCCTTAATAGATGCCGCTACTGTTTGGTTCCCCCAAGCAGGGAGCACTTTCTGCGAACTGCAGGTGTCCCGCAGTGGGTCAGACATTAAAGGCGCTGCGTAAGCAATTCAGAACTGTTGAACTACCAAAGCACTTGAGCAGTGCCCTTGGAGCATGCCCCCCATGTTGGGGACCCTGGGATGGGTGGGAGGCTGGGTGGGGCTTCTCCCTTTATCCTCCCCTCTTAGCCCAGATACAGAGAAAAAAAAAAAAAAGAATGTGGGAACGCTGGTCTTATCCACTTTCCTATAACTGTTGTCCCTTTGTGCCCTAATCAACTATGTAAAGGTTATAAAAATAAAATAACACTAATTGAAAAAAAAAGGTGCTGCGGGGCTCAGGAGGCATTGGGAGAGCTTGCTTGTGCCTCCCCCAGCTGGGTGGCAGGCTGGACTCCGAACAGGAAATAGCAGCCTGCTTTGTCTTTGCTTTCCTGCATGTCACAGGAGGACGCCCTGCAGTACTTCTTGCAACCCAAGGAGCTATCAAGCCAAAGCAAGTGCTTCTGTCAGAACTGTGGGAAGAACACCTACAGGAAACAGGTACTCCTTTCCCTAAAATACAGTGTCTCCCAGGTCTCGGGGGGTGATGGGGGGAGGCCCAGGCAGGCTGCACCAGCAGAGGGCACCTTGTGATGCATGATGGAGGGTCAAGGTCAGGCAAGCACCAGGGGTCCTGTGGCTTCTGATTTCCAGAGCTGTAGCTAGGGCTACTCAGATCACACCCCTGACAGGGACTGAGCCGTTTAAGCAGAAAGAGCAGCTCCGTCAGAGTTGGATCAGTTCCCTGGGGAAGACATCAAAGTTCTGCTGGGTTCAGGTGCCCGTGGGAGATGGATAGTGGAGGCCACGTGTTGTGCGTCTCATGGAGGAGTCCATGAGTCAGTGACCCCGAGTCATGTCAGAGAGCTTCATTGCTGCTTAACTTTGTTCTTCCCAGGCTTTGAAACTGACCCATCTGCCCTCAGCTTTGACCATCCACCTCATGCGCTTCTCCGCCAGGAATTCACAGACACAGAAGGTCTGCCACTCCGTCTCTTTCCCCGAGAGCTTGGATTTCACTCAGGTGCTTCTGAGTGAACAAGACCTCAGCGATGACGTCAAGGACCAGGTGAGAAGCTGGCCTCGCTCTGGCCTTGTGTCTCATTAGACGCCATACTTCCTGTTTCCCCAAGCATCCCTCGATGCGTCAGTGCTCAGCTTGGAAGTTCTTCCCCAGGCCACAGGATCCCAGACTAAGCTATGAGTTAAGCGGGTGAACACTAGTTGAAAATACCAGCTCAGTTGCCCAGTTCTGCGTTTTTCTGCCACCCTGTCCGCTAGGAAATCCTGTCCCCTGCTGGCCACGGGCAGGAGAACAACCACAGCCTGGTGGGATTCCTGCAACAATGAGCCACACTCAGCTTCCCTGATTTTGCTTTTACTCATATTCCTTTTATCTTTCTTATTCCTCCCAACAAAAATGTAATGCACAAATTTGCATATATAATGTGCTACTTTAACGTGTGTGTATATTGTGGGGTGACTAGTTCAAGTTAATCAACGTTATCTGTCACCTCACACACTAATTCTTTTGAAAAAATGATTTAAAAATTAGCATGCAATACTTATACATATTTATGGCATACAGAGTAACAACACATATATCTTTTGTGGTGAGAAGATGTAAAATACTTATTTTTTAAACAATTTTCAGGTATGCGATTCGTTGGCATTAACTAAGTTACTGTGCTTGGCTGGGTTCACAGGTGTGCTGTAACCTGGAGCTTCCTTGTCACTTCTCTGGCTCTCCTCTCCTGCTAAGCTTTGTTTCCTGGCACTCATTCAAACCTTGTTCTCCTTGCCACAGCTACTGCTGCTGCAAGCGACAGCCGCGTTGACTTTTATGGTTAGGCAAAATATTGACTGCCACCACCACAGGGGCGGAGCCTCTGCCTCCAAAGTTTCTTCCCTTCATGGGTCCAAACTTTGAAGCTTGATTGTTGTCATTGCCAAAATCATTGTCGCTTCCACGGTCTCTGCAATTGCTCCCGCTGGCACCGCCCAAGCCGCCTCTGCCGTCGTGACAGCTGCCATTCTCTCTATAGCTAGTGCCCTGCTTTCCAAAACCCTCTCCACCACTTTCCCAGTCTCTGCTGCCTCCAGAGCAAGCAGGGCTGCCTGCTCCACAACCACCAGGATTACCAATCCATCGCAACCGTCCCCACTACCACCATAACCACCGCCACCTTGGCTGCCACCAAAGCCGCCACAACCACTCAAGGTTCCTCCTGGACCCAAAATGATCATTGCCACCAAAACTACCGCCACGCCCATCACCAATGTTTCCAGAACCACTTTGACCTCTTGGGGTTGATGAAACAAGCCATCTCCTTGCTTGAACAGGGCCTTTCTTATTTCACAGTTGTGACCATTCACAGCGTGGTATTTCTGCATGGTAGTCTTATCCACGGAATCGTGGTCATCAAAAGTACCACGAGCAAAGCCCCTCTTCTTGCCACTGCTTTCATCAATCATGATCTCGATCATTTTGATTTTCCCATATTGCTTAAAATAACGTGGGAGGTAACGCTCGTCAGTGTCTAGGCAAATTAAAGAAAGGCCCTCGATAAAGGTCTTTTTCACAGGTAGATTGGCACTGGGTCTTGGGGAATCTTCTCTGGAGACAGCCCCCTTTGGTTCCCGCACTCTTCCATCCACTAGCATGGCCTTGCATTCATGGCTGTGTCCACGCCTCCACGGTGGTGTAGGTGACAACCCTTCAGCCACTGGAGTGCTTGGTGTTCAGATCCCATCCCACGCAGTCTGTGAGCGTTCCCCACTGCTTAAAATGGCTCCACGGACTCTCGTGGCTCATTTGGCAGCTCAGCCCTCTGATGGAGAGATTCTGCGGCTGTTTGCGCTCTTCGGGAAGCTCTGACCTAACAGCAGTGTGAAGAGAAGAGAGGGCGATGCTTCCTTTGGTAGTGTCCACAAGCAGAAAGCCAAGAGGTATTTATTTATTTGAAAGAGTTAGAGTTAGAGAGAGAGAGAGAGAGAGAGAATGAGAGAGAGAATCTTCCAATCGCAGATCCCCAAATGGCTGCAATGGATGGAAGCTCTCATCTGCTTTTTTTCCCAAGTGCATGAGTAGCGGGCTGGATCAGAAACAGAGCAGCAGGTACTCAAATCAGCACCCATGCGGAATGCTGACACCATTCCCAGCACCCAGTTTCCAAGCTGCGTTCTTTTGTTTCTCTTACACAGACGTCATGATGATGTTACTCCTCTTCTTTAAACACTCTGTCCCCCCATCCCCATCACTCAAGGAATAAAGTTTGAATTTTTAACTTGGCCTTTGTATTTTGCTTTCTTGTGACTTCTGAGCACCCTCACAGCCTTCTGTGTCTGCAGTATGCTGTGTTCTTTTCCACCACTGAGTCTTTCAGTTTCTGAGTCTACATTAAAAATGATATCCCTTCCTATAACCTGTCTTTTCAGATCAGCCCAACTTTTTCTTGTCTGGGGAGATCCCTCCAGCCCCTCAGCCCTTCCTTGCCTTCTTGTTCTTTCCCTATTCTGGACAAAAATGTACACTTCTCAGATAACCTCTGCAGAATCTGGTACAAAACACACCATTATAATTGTGGTTTAGCCATTGTTTCTCGGTTAGCTAGGAAGGTTCCTGAGGCCAAGGACTGTGCTTTATTGCCTCTGCAGTAGCGATGCCTGGCAGAGAGCAGGCTGTGAATACATGTGTGATGACAAGGAGGATGACAGGTTAATCATTCCATGCCTTCTGCCCTTCCAGGTTGGAGGACAGTATGAACTCTTTGCCGTGATCGCACACATGGGAATGGCAAACTTTGGTCATTACTGTGCCTATATTCGGAACTCTGTGGATGGAGAATGGTTCTGCTTCAATGACTCCAATGTTTGCAGGGTGAGAAACATTGTCTAAATTGCTTCTTTACTTGGATTAGCCTTATGGAACCAATTCTGAGCCCAGGATGGCAAGAATCCTGCAGGTCAAGACTAGCTGCGCTCTCTGGTGCCTTTTCCTCATGAAAGCCCTATTTGGTTGGCAGCTCTGTGCATGGTCCACTTACCTTGTTTTCTACATTTTATGGTACAACAGGCTCGGTGGAAACCTCTGTAAAGCAAGAATAGTTAAAAGTATGTACATCAGAACCGTGGAATAGGGCTGGCATAGCACAGCAGGTCAAGCCACGGCTTGTGACACACCAACCCATGTTAGAGTGCCCGTTGAGTCCTGACCCACTTCTGGTCCAGCTCTATGCTGATGCTTCTGAGAAAGGAGTGGATCACAGCTCATGGGCCTGAGTCCTGCCATCTACATGGAAGAGCAGCCTGTAGTTCCAGGCTCCAGCCTCGCCCAGTCCCAGCTACTGTAAACACTTGGAGAACGAGCCAGCAGATGGAAGATGAAGTTTCTCTCTCTCTCCTTTCTCTCTCTCTCCCATTCTCTCTTTCCCACTCCTTCTCCTTCCTCTCCATCTTTCCTTTTGAATACAGAAATGAAATCTTTTTAAAAAGAACTCTTGGAAAGGGATAACCAAGTGTATTTGTGTGTTTTGCTTATTTGAAAGAGAGAGTTAGATTGAGAGAGCTCCAAATTGCTTGTTTACATCTCGACTGCCCGCCATGGCTGTTTCCAAGTCAATGCTGGGAGCTGGGAATTCGGTCCATGTCTTTGGGCTAGCATTTTGACATACTGGATTAAGTCACCTCTTAGACTGATACACACATCCCATAGTAGAGTGCCTGGTTTAAACCTTGGCAACTCTGCTTCCGACCAGCATCCTGGGATCCAGAGTATGATGGCACAAGTGCTTGGGTTCCTGCCACCATTGTGGGAGAACTTGATAGAGTGCTGGGTTCCTGGCTTTGGTGTGGTCCAGCCCCAGGTGTCATGGGCATTTGGAGGCTGAAGTAGTGGATGGAGTGTCTGTGTCTCTCCATGTCACTCTGACTTAGAATTTTAAAAAAATGCCCTTATGTTGGTGTTAGGGACCCAGTCCCTGGAGCCATCATCAGTGTGTTTATTAGCAAGAAGCTGGAGTCAGGAGCTGGAATTGGGACTCACACCCAGGCACTGCAACACGGGACACAGGCATTTAAAGCAACATAGGCTGAACATCTGTCCCAAACATAACCAAGTTTCCACAAAGCAATGGAGATATTAAAGTGCTTTTGTATATGTGACCTAGATGCTCCAAGCTTGTGAGTTGCTAAGGGTAGGGCAAATTACAGTACCACATATTCAGGGGGATGCTTGACTCAAATCTGTTTATTTACACACTTTAGGTATCCTGGGAAGACGTCCAGTGTACCTTTGGAAATCATAATGACCGTTGGTAAGAGGGGTGTGAGGTGATGGAAACGTTTTGAACTTTACGGGGACGGGGTTCGTGGAACTGGGTGAAACACTGATGATGTCCTAGTGACTGTGGAGCCTCGTCTTTCAAAAATCCGCCTAGAGATCTTCTTTCAGTGTAGATACCAGCAGTGCTACAAGAGAGGGAAGTTACAGGGGTGGGGAAATCTCAGATCCTATGGAATAAATCTCACATCCTATGGAATCGTACCATAAAATTAGAGAGAGAGTTTTAAACACCACTTCCTCCATCCCTCCCCTAATTGGCTATGTAAGCAAAGTGTCGCTCGTGTAGGCATGGTGCTTTCCCACTGGAGGGAGGATATAGACGCACCCCACCCAAGCAGCTCTGCAGAGACATTTTGTGTAGTTCCATTGCTTTTTTTTTTTTTTAAAAAGATTTATTTATTTTTATTGGAAAAGTAGATATACAGAGAGGAGGAGAGACAGAGAGGAAGATCTTCCATCCGATGATTCACTCCCCAAGTGAGTGCAATGGCCGGTGCTGTGCCGATCCGAAGCCAGGAACCAGGAACCTCTTCTAGGTCTCCCACGCAGGTGCAGGGTCCCAAGGCTTTGGGCCATCCTCGACTGCTTTCCCAGGCCACAAGCAGGGAGCTAAAAGGGAAGTGGGGCTGCTGGGATTAGAACCTGTGCCCATATGAGATCCCAGGGCGTGCTCAAGGCGAGGACTTTAGCCGCTAGGCCACTGTGCCGGGCCCTTCCGTTGCCTTTTTTTTTTTAAGATTTATTTTATTTTTTTATTGGAAATGTGGATATATAGAGAGGAGAGACAGAGAGGAAGATCTTCTGTCCAATGATTCACTCCCCAAGTGACTGCAATGGCCAGTGCTGCGTTGAGCCAAAGCCAGGAGCCAGGAACTTCTTCTAGGTCTCCCATGCAGGTGCAGGGTCCCAAGGCTTTGGGCCATCCTTGACTGCTTTCCCAAGCACCTGGAGAGTTTTCCCCATTAAAACTAGGAATTTCTGGCAAAACGGGGAAAACGTGGTGATTGCTGTGGTGGTGATGTGTGTGTGTGTGTGTGTGTGTGTGTGTGAACTAAGATATCATTCCTTGCAGCTGGGAAGAGTGACCTGCCAATCCTACATGAGCAGGGCTGAAAGCGCCATGGTTGCAGCCGGTAGCCCAAGGGGAAGGCGAGCACTACAGGAAGACACCCAGCCTGCAGACAAAAGTGAAGTGGATTTAGAGCCAGCACAAAGGGAACTGGAGCAGGCAGACTCCTGTGGGAGCCTCCCAAAGAAGCAGCAAGTGGCAAAAAGCCATAACGCAAAACACTGACCTCAGCACCTGGCAAGGGAGGTTATTAAAACAGAATGGGATGCCATGGGCTGCCAATCAATCATCCCCAGAGGAGGGCAGCCATGCCATTGGGGGTGAGGCAGCTGAGGGAGGGACCTGGGAAATGAAAGCAGAATCTATTCCACACCCTAAACCCCCTGAGGGATACCAGGAGAGGGGGATGCTGAGAGCTAAGGGGGCAGAGAGTGGATCTGGGCCAGTTACCTAAATCCTGGCAAGTGAGCCACTGTGGAAGCCCAATGTGTTTGCATCAGTGGGCATTAGGGCCCTGCGGCATGGATTCCAACACCCAGAGAAGGAGCAAGGTAGAAAAGGGAGTGAAGGCTACATGGCAAAGACAAGGAGTTCCTGCTGGAGGCAGGGTGCCTGCCAGCAGCAGGAACAGTCCAGAGGTGCACTTGAGCAGTCAGGGGCGTCAACAGAGAAATCAGAGAACTGCCAGTGCTGGTGGGTTGATGTTATACACAGCCCTGGGAGAGGCAAAAGGAACAAGGCGACTGGCCTGTGTGGCTTCATGGTTTATCACCCCATGGACTGTGGGTGGGGCAAGAAAGAGCAGAGCACTGCTTGATGAGGCATGCCGTTCTGTGGCTCTGCATCCACCAGGGAACACGCTTCAGCCCCTCTTCCAGTATTCACAGTACCGGGAGGGTAGTGACCCGCATTGTAACAAGCACCTTGGTGGAAGCCACAGAAGCACAGCAGAAGGCTCTGCCACAAAAAATAAAGGAAAGTCTGATCAGAAATGCAAGGAATTCCTTGCTCTTCTCTCCCACCAAAAAAGGAAAAGGAGTACAATTCCTTGCTTCCGTTTCCAAGAAGTCTCCCTACTCATCTGAAGAATTGGGATAAACCAGACATGACTTCTTTGTATTCAAGACCAAAAGACCAACAGTTACCCAATTACCAATTAGGGCAGAGGAAGAAAAAATGGAGGAGAAACAACCCAGCTTGAAGTTGCATGTGTAACCTCCCTGACTTCAGGTGCTGCTGAAACCATGAGTGACAGAGAGACTAGGCAGACATGGATATGACCTGGGAATGTCCAGGGCTGAGAGAGGCAGCCAGGGTGGCACTGACCACAGAGACCAAGGCTGAAGCCCCCAAGCGACCAACACAAGTGCCAGGATCATCCCAGATCAAGAACAAACAGGAGGGGCCAGCACTGCAAGAAGCCCCAGGCCCCAGCTCTGCAAGGAGCCCCAGGCCACAGCTGTGCCAGGATCCTCAGCCCCCAGCTCTGCAAGGAGCCCCAGGCCACAGCTCTGCAAGGAGCCCCAGCCCATAGCTCTGCAAGGAGCCCCAGGCCCTAGCTCTGCAAGAAGCCCCAGGCCCCAGCTCTGCAAGAAGCCCCAGGCCCCAGCTCTGCAAGAAGCCCCAGGCCATAGCTCTGCAAGGAGCCCCAGGCCCCGTCCTGCAGAACTTACCTGGGCAAGGAGAGCAGGCATAGCTGCCATGGGTTCCAGGAGGAGGAAGAAAAGGTCCCCGTTGGCGGAGGAATACTGCATGGTGCTGACGCGGAGTGATTGGCCGCACGGTCACTTCCTGTTAGGAGCTGCGGCCGCGCACCCTCAGTTGGCGAAGAAGCAGAGGAGGAAGAGGACACTTCGCTGGACTCTCCGTGGGGAACAGTTCGCCTGCGGGAAGACGCGCTGCGGGCCCCGTGAGTGGACATGACGGGGCTCATGGACTCCAGCTAGCCCTCGTCTCACCCGCTGTCCACCTGCACGCCGCCAGGGGAGGGCCTCGCGGTGGGCGCCATGGTGGACGTGGGGCTGGCTGTGCAAGAGGTGGAGTTGGTGCCACCCCCAGAGTGCCTGGTCTTTGGGCCTCGCTGGGAGGAGTCCACAACCCAAAAGAACATCTACAAGGTAAGATCCCCGTAGGGTACAGGGTTCCGGGAAGGGGAGGCGGCAGCTTGGCCCTAGCATGTGTCCAGGAGTGCAGGTGGTACCTTGTCCTTGGGTGTGGGTCCAGCTGGGGAGGCGATGGCTTGTCCTTGGGTGCGGGTCCAGCTGGGGAGGCGGCGGCTTGGTATTCAGCAGGCCTGCACAGGGGGAGGTGGGGGAAGAGGGGAGGTGTCCACTTGCCTTTGTGCAGCGTTTACGAGGGGGGCCGCGGCTTAGCCCTGAGTGTGGGTTCCTGAAAGCCAGGCGGTGGCTTGATCTTCAACGAGGGGCTGGAAGGTTAGGCAGCGGCTTAGCCATCAGCACTGGGTCCATCCCGGTGGGGATGTGGCGGTTTGCTTTCTGTGCATGGTCCAGGAAGGCGGGTCTCGGTTTGGCCCTGGGTGCGGGGTCCTTGAGGGCTGGCCTCGGCTTGGCCCTCCGCGTGGGGTCCGGGAAGGCCTCCAGTAGCGTGGTCATTGGTGCGGGGCCCTTGAGGGCAGGTGGTGTCTTGATCCTCGGCTGTGTCTGTGAGCGCAGGCCTCGTCTTGGGCCTCCACTGGTGTCGTTAAGGGCAGCTGCCAGCTTGCCATGTTCTTGAGGTCCCAAAGGTAAGCAGTAGCTTGGCCATGGCGTGAGTGCAAGAGGGGAGGTCCGCTTGCCTTCGTGCAGGGTTTAGGAGGGCAGGCGGTGTCTTGTCCCAAGGTGCAGGGTCCAGGAGGGCAGGCGGTGTCTTGTCCCAAGGTGCAGGGTCCAGGAGGGCAGGCGGTGTCTTGAGCCTTTGTGCATTGTTTGGGAGGGCTGGTGACATCTTGGTCATGGACGTGGTCCATGAAAGGCATGATGTGGCTTGGCCCTAGGCACGGGTTCCAGGAGCGCAGGTTGTGGCTTGGTCCTCTGTTTGGGATGGAGAAACGCAGGTGGTGGCTTTGCCCTTGGTGTGGGTGCCACGAGGGCAGGCAGTGTCTTAGTCCTTTGTGTTGTCTGGGAGGGCTGGAGTCCTTGGTGCAGGGACGAGAGGGAAGGCTGAGGCCTGGCACTCAGTGTGGTCTCTGGGTATAGTGGGCACAGGTGCCTGGGGTTCATGCTGTCTTGCAAGGTCTGTTCCACTTCTGTCCTCGGGGCTGGTGGTCTTCCTGCCTGCCTGCCTGCCTTCCTTTTCCGTCTTTACTTTCTTCCGTCCTTGGTTGTTCTCGTAATGCTGGTACGTGTTGGTGGGGTACAGGGTGGTGTTTGTATGCAGGGCGAGCTGGAGGACGCCCTGGCCTGTCCCCCCAGACCAGGCTTCGGTGGGAGGCTGAGCTGCAGCTTTTCCCCTCAGGATGCTGTCTGCACTCACTGCTGCCATCTGAAGAATTCTTCCCTGGGACGAGAAAAGGAGCCCCAGTTTTGAAGTTTTATCTATGTATCTATATGTTTATTATAGTTTAGGAAGTGTTATTCAAGTATTATTCAAGTCAGATATACAGCGGGAAGGAGAGACAGAGAAAGATCCTCTGTCTGCTGGTTCACTCCCCAAGTGGCTAAAACGGCCGGAACAGAGACATTCTGAAGCCAGGAGGGAGCTTCTTAAAGATCTCCCACATGGGTGCAGGGTCCCAAGGGTGTGGGCCATCTTTGACTGCTTGCCCAGGCCACAGGCAGGGAGCTGGATGGGATGTGGAGCAGCTGGGACATGAACCCAGTGCTCATATAGAATCCTGGTGTATGCAAGTCTAGCACTTTAGCAACTATGCTATTGCACTGGCTCCAAAAATAAAGAAATCCTTCTTTTTTTTTTTTAGATTTATTTATTTTTATTGTAAAGTCAAATATGCACAGAGGAGAAGAGAGAAATATTTTCTGTCCGATGATTCACTCCCCAAGTGAATTGGAAAGCATGGTACTGCGCGATCTGAAGTCAGGAGCCAGGATCCTTGAGACTCTTCCAGGTCTGCCACGTGGGTGCAAGATCCCAAGGCTTTGGGCCGTTCTCAACTGCTTTCCC